AGAAAGTACTTCGACGGGGCTAGCCTACTCCATGAAGCACAGGACGGTTTCAGGATGGGAAGATCCTGTGTGACGAATCTTCTACTAACCTGGAACGATTGGACACTATCCTGGGACGTAAAGGTACCAGTCCATGTGATCTTTCTCGACTTGCATCAGGGGTCCTCAGGGTTCTATCTTAGGGCCGTTGATGTTTTTGATTTTTACCAACGACCTGCCCTTTCAACTGAACTGCTCTGCACTTCTTTACGCCGACGACGTAAAGATTTGGAGAGCAATAAACTCATCGGAAGACTCCAACAGATTGCAGGCTGACCTGCAAACTCTGGGAGACTGGGCTCTGGCTAACGGAATGCCTTTCAACCTAAAGAAGTGCAAAGTAGTGTAACTTCATTCCGGCTGGTTACAGAGAGTAAATTACACCCTTGGTGGCCAGAACTTGAGTTGTGTGCCATCAGAACGCGACCTAGGTCTCATTCTAACAGGAAAGCTAGACACCAGTGTAAATTACACGAGGGACGTCGTCAAAGCTTACGTAAATTTACACTTTATGCGTAGGCAGCTGGGAGCTCTTACTCCCGAACTATTCTTAAGGTTGTATAAGACATACGTGAGGCCACACCTTGAGGTGCATAATATCATTGCTCCTCCGCTACTCAAAAGGAATGCTAACATTCGAGAAAGTGTCCAGAGACGAGCGACAAAATAGGTGACTGGCCTCCACAACAAATCATACGAGGAAAGACTGAAGAACTTAAGTCTTTTCACACCTAGGGGAGACCTCATCACTGTCTACAAGATCTTAAATGACCAGGTCCACCCAAATAAAAGCATCCTGCCATTAAGTGACTATAGGCTTCCACGAGGTAACCCGCTAATGATAGCACACTAGAGACCGAAGACTCGAGTGCGTTCACATTTCTTTTCGATTCGAGTTTGCCGTCTCTGGAACGCTTTACCGGCGGCCGCGACTACAGCGCCATCTGTGGAGACTTTTAAGCGGAAGCTGGACAATCATGCAGAAATGCAAGGTTGTGTCTCAATGGCTTATCCTCTTAAAATTTAAAATCACACTGTCAATGGATAAGCATATAAACTAAATCTCGACCCGTTCTGCCTTCTCTCACTGTACCGACAACTCTATCTTTTCCTTAGGTCACCTCTATTAATTCACTTATCTCAACCTATATTATCTACACTACAACCTATTATTATTATTACTATTCTGCTTTTATGACTAAACCGAATGACCAACGGGTGTTAGGTCAAAATCCATTCACGGCAGCAACTGAGTCCTAACATACTGCACACTACAAACCACATCTTGACCAATCCTCGCACCACTCCTCTTGGAGTCTACCAGAGCTAAAGCAGTCGAGTGTCAGGATTTACTACGCATAAGTTCATCGAAGATCTGGAACCTCTACCTTACAATCAAGAAGCGAGCTCAAAGAAATCACTGGTTTATACTAGCTCGTTATCAACTGGTGAAAGGATCAACTCCATTCACAGTAGTAACAGTCTTAACACACCTCATACTACAAACCACATATAATTAATCCCTGCACTACTCCTTTTGGAGTCAGCCAAAGCTACGGCAGTCGAGTGGCCGGACGAGCCACGCAGACGCTTACCGAAGATCAGGAACCTCTACCTCACAATCAAGAGGCGAGCACAAAGAAATCAAATTGGTTTATACTAGCTCGTTAAAACGATATTGGATATTGGAACCTTGAGTCATCGCGCCTAAGTCAACTCTTCTTGTTGCTACAGTCGTTCGCTCTGCTCGCAGGGTTGTCTTCCCCCTTTGTGGTTTAGTGTGGGCTGTGGGGCAGTGTGTTTGCTTTCCTGTCACAATTTTTCCAATGAGGTCAGTTTCGGTCAATTCGTTATATTTATTATTATTGTATCCTTTAATTCCTAGAGAAACATAGGGCTTCAGCCGTGCTTCTCCATTGAGTTCGGTTCTCTGCTAGAGTCTTCACCTGGCTCCATGTCTGCTCGCACGTTTTCATCTCCTCTTCACATGACCTCCTCCAAGTCACCCTTGCACTGACGACCAACTCGCCGCTCCCCTTTCGGGTTCCACTCGAGCAATGGCTTGTCTAGTGATGTCACTTGATGGTTTCCTCAGAGTATGACCAGCCAATCCATCTCCATTTCCTTCTGCATATTTGTTTCACAATCGGTTCCTGGTTGGTCCGCTCCCAGAGATCTCTGTTGCTGATCTTTTCTGGCCATCTGATCTTGAGCGAAGACAACTGTTAATTAAGGTCTGTATTTTGTTTGAGATGCTCTTTATGACGCGCTGGCCAAATCTCTGATCCGTATACAGTAGCACTGACTGACTTCACATTGGAGTTGAAAATCCGGATCTTATTTTTGATGCTGAGAGTTGTTGACCTCCACACAGACTTGAGAGTAGTGAAAGCTTGTCTTGCTTTCCCGATCCTCGCTGCTTTGATATCCTCGTTAGTTCCGTCGGCCTGTAGTTGAAACGATGCTTCCCAGGTAGGTAGGTAAAAGAGGTTGTTTCTTTCAGGTTCCTCCCATTTATGCTGATTTTCGTCTGTTGTTGTTGTTGTTCCTGTTGGTGTTGCCCAGGAATCTTCATCACCTACCTCTGTTTTCTCTATGTTTATTTGGAGTCCTATCTTTGATGCGTCTTCTGCCAACTTGTTGCTTTTCACTTGCATATCTCTTCCAGCAGTTTGTGGGAAATCAGACGTATATACCACATTTGCGAAGTCTAGATCCTGCAAGTTGTTTGTGTTGGTCCATTTTATGCCTGTTTCCTCATTGCCCGCAGTCTGTCGCATTATCCAGTCTACCGTAATCAGGAAAATCATTGGCGATAGTAGGCAGCCTTGTCTTACTCCTGTCCTCACTTCGAAGGGTTCCGTAAGTTTCCCGTTGTGGATTACTTGACATGCAGCATTGTCGTACAGCTGTTGTATGAGATGTATACTTGTCGGTGGCACCCCATAGTAGCGAAGTACTTGGCAAAGCACCTCTCGATCGACGCTGTCGAAGGCCTCTTCAAAGTCGATGAAGTTGAGATAGAGAGCTAACTGTCATTCCAAGCTCTGTTCAATGATGATCCGTAATGTGGCGATCTGATCAATGCATGACTTGTTTCTCCTGAATCCAGCCTGTTCCGGTCGAAGTTTTTCATCCAGGTTGGCATGTTTGATTCTCTCCAGGATGATGCGGCTTAGTATTTTGCTTGGGATGGACAGGAGCATAATTCCGCGCCAGTTCTTGCATTGACTTAAGTCTCCTTTCTTTGGTAGTTTGAATAGGTATCCTTTCTTCCAATTCTCGGGTACTTTGCCTTCTTTCCACACCTTCTCCAGTAGTGGTGTCAGCAAGTCCGCTGTTGTCTCTGGGCCCATTTTCAACGCTTCTGCTGGGATTCCATCTGGTCCTGCTGCTTTTCCAGCTCCAGCTTTTAGCATCTTGATTGCCTTCAGGACTTCTGATTTCGTCGGTGGGTTGGTGTTCACTGGTAGCTCTGTCTCCGTTTTTGGTATTGTTGGGTGCGTTGTCGGTGGTGTCGATTTAGGAGTCTTTTGAAGTGTTCAGCCCAGTGTTTCCTTTGCTCCACTTCTTTGGTGAGTGACTTTCCATTGTCATCCTTCACCTGCTTGATTTGTGTCCAACGTTTGGTAGAGTGTTGCGAGGTCTCCTTTGCCTGCAGCTTGTTCTGCTTCACTTGTCATGGTTTCATAATACTTTCTTTTGTCTTCTCTGGCACTCTTCTTTACTCTTTCTGTTCAGTGTCTTGTAGTTTGCATTCAAATCCTGTTTTTGTTGCTCATCGGTGCACTGGAGAATCTTTTGTTTCACCATCCTTCTCTCTTCTATTAGTCTCCAAGTGTCCGTAGTGAGCCACTGTTTGTCCTGTCTCTTCTTTCTGCCTAGAACTTCCATGCAGGTTTGACTCCACACTGTTTTCAAGTTGTTCCAGTGCTTTTCGACGCTGACCTCTTCGCCAGTGTTGACTTGTGTCTCGGCTTTGTCTTTTATGCTTGCAGTGAAGATGTCCTTTTGTGTCCTGGTCCTTCAGGTTTTGAGTGTTGAACTTGGCTTGTGGTCTATCTGCAGCTCCTGTTTCTCTGAAAGCTGTTAATTTGATTTGGATTGTCTCTTGTACGAGATAGTGGTCTGAGCCAACGTGTGCTCATCTTCTTACTTTTGTGTCCAGCAGGCTGCGCCTCCACTTTCTTGAGATTGAGATGAAGTCGATTTGGTTTTTGGTTTGCCCATCTGGTAACACCCGTGTAGGCTTGTGGATATCCTTGTGTTTGTATACGCTGCCACCAATCACTAGTTCATTGAAGGCGCAGAAGTCGGCGAAGAGTTCTCCGTTTTCATTCATTTCTCCGAGAGCTTCTCTACCCATGATGAGTTCCCTTCCTGTGTTGTCTGATCCCAGTTTGGCGTTCATGTCTCCCATTAGTATTTTAATGTCACCAGCTGGAGTATTGTCAATTGTTGCCTGTAGTTGTCTTTTTTATCCCTTTTAGCGGATATAATCGCGGAAGGATATCTCTCGTGGGTCTTGACCTAACAAATATCATTGATTCCCCACCACAAAGTGCGTACTCAGGTGGAACTCGCAGAAGATCCTTGAGATTACTCCGAAAATCTTTATGTCCAGTGTCCCATGATGAACAAACACTACCACCTAGAAGATGTCGTCGAAATTCTGGGATATACTCGCAAACTCGAGTAAGTGCGTCTGCTACGTTGAATAAGTTACTTACTTATTTATTTATTTTCATTCCTTCACGTTCCCAGTGGAACATAGAGCTTCAAGCTAGAGACTTGAATTTTCTGTAGAAATGTTTATTTTAACTGGATGGGGTTTCTATCGTCTCGCTCAACCTTTTTCTCTTAATCAGCTTCATTTCTGGTTTACCGAGGTTTAGGAGTGCGTTGGCCGGCAATCGTAACTGTGTTGACATCCGTGGTCGAGGGAATTCTACCGCTGCACCATGAACTCAGTATGTTCATATAATCACTGTTAAATAATCTTTGTTCCACATACTTTTTCAATATAGACTTTCCAAATTGAAACGTCATGAAGACAAGGTGTATATATAACGTATTCACCGTATTGGATATTGATACCATATCACTTTATTGGTCTTGTTTTGCATTCGAATGTAGTCTGCGTTAGCATTGTTGACAGTTGGCTGATGTAGCTGTTAGCTATATCAGACTATTACGGATATTCGTCACGTCTTCTGTATGCGAATTGTTCAGTGCTTCTGTTTAAAGATTTCAAAACTGGTAGTCTGTTGAACAATAAATCAAAATAGTGAAAGTAACACAGGACAGGATATATAAAAACCTGGACCGCGGTGTTGCCATTTTAACGTATGCTTTGTGCTTGATTGCATAGATGAATCACATATATGAGTTCTCATATATTTAAATATCCTACTTCAAGATAGTTATTCCATTCGTCAACCGTTTCTAGCTTTCGCGAAATTCTTCACTTCTGTCCACTTTGAGTACCCAGTCGCCTTGTGTGAAAACCAAGCATTTTGATTTAGTTGTCATTTATATAAACAGCCCCTTTCTCTCCGTCTCTCCTTGTTCATAAAACATATAAATCTACAGTGCAAGTTTAAGCTGGTTTTCCGTTAATCTTTCTGACAATTCGAGCACATACCCATTTGAATTACATTGTCATGCTTTAAGATATGCTCGGCATGTACGTCTTGTAGCTTGAATTTTGTTGATACATCGTATTGTATTTCAAAAGCCACTATTTTCTTCATAATTTCTTGGTCCTCAAATTAATAGAACGTACAAACTGAATAGCTATTAGCTAGGTACATGGGACTATGCTTTACATTGCTAGTATCTTCAACCATGTGTAATATATGGTACTAATCCACATTTGAATTAATATTCTTTTTTTGTAGACGAATGCAGTTTATGGCGCATCGTGCAATTCTTCTCATTCGCCTGCCCAGAATGAAAAGAAAGTACTATGTACGGATATTTCTGCACAGCAATGCTCTACTGCGTCACCCGATAAGGTATCTGTCTTATCGGAAGATGAATTGGAAAATGTCCGACCTCAAAGTTCTCTACACAAGCCATCAGATATTGAAGATGTCTATCTTCCTAAGAAGTATACGCCCCCAAAACACAGAAGATCCTGGAGATTACTCCGAAAATCTTTATGTCCAGTGTCCCATGATGAACAAACACTACCACCTAGAAGATGTCGTCGAAATTCTGGGATATACTCGCAAACTCGAGTAAGTGCGTCTGCTACGTTGAATAAGTTACTTATTTATTTATTTTCATTCCTTCACGTTCCCAGTGGAACATAGAGCTTCAAGCTAGAGACTTGAATTTTCTGTAGAAATGTTTATTTTAACTGGATGGGGTTTCTATCGTCTCGCTCAACCTTTTTCTCTTAATCAGCTTCATTTCTGGTTTACCGAGGTTTAGGAGTGCGTTGGCCGGCAATCGTAACTGTGTTGACATCCGTGGTCGAGGGAATTCTACCGCTGCACCATGAACTCAGTATGTTCATATAATCACTGTTAAATAATCTTTGTTCCACATACTTTTTCAATATAGACTTTCCAAATTGAAACGTCATGAAGACAAGGTGTATATATAACGTATTCACCGTATTGGATATTGATACCATATCACTTTATTGGTCTTGTTTTGCATTCGAATGTAGTCTGCGTTAGCATTGTTGACAGTTGGCTGATGTAGCTGTTAGCTATATCAGACTATTACGGATATTCGTCACGTCTTCTGTATGCGAATTGTTCAGTGCTTCTGTTTAAAGATTTCAAAACTGGTAGTCTGTTGAACAATAAATCAAAATAGTGAAAGTAACACAGGACAGGATATATAAAAACCTGGACCGCGGTGTTGCCATTTTAACGTATGCTTTGTGCTTGATTGCATAGATGAATCACATATATGAGTTCTCATATATTTAAATATCCTACTTCAAGATAGTTATTCCATTCGTCAACCGTTTCTAGCTTTCGCGAAATTCTTCACTTCTGTCCACTTTGAGTACCCAGTCGCCTTGTGTGAAAACCAAGCATTTTGATTTAGTTGTCATTTATATAAACAGCCCCTTTCTCTCCGTCTCTCCTTGTTCATAAAACATACAAATCTACAGTGCAAGTTTAAGCTGGTTTTCCGTTAATCTTTCTGACAATTCGAGCACATACCCATTTGAATTACATTGTCATGCTTTAAGATATGCTCGGCATGTACGTCTTGTAGCTTGAATTTTGTTGATACATCGTATTGTATTTCAAAAGCCACTATTTTCTTCATAATTTCTTGGTCCTCAAATTAATAGAACGTACAAACTGAATAGCTATTAGCTAGGTACATGGGACTATGCTTTACATTGCTAGTATCTTCAACCATGTGTAATATATGGTACTAATCCACATTTGAATTAATATTCTTTTTTTGTAGACGAATGCAGTTTATGGCGCATCGTGCAATTCTTCTCATTCGCCTGCCCAGAATGAAAAGAAAGTACTATGTACGGATATTTCTGCACAGCCATGCTCTACTGCGTCACCCGATAAGGTATCTGTCTTATCGGAAGATGAATTGGAAAATGTCCGACCTCAAAGTTCTCTACACATGCCATCAGATATTGAAGATGTCTATCTTCCTAAGAAGTATACGCCCCCAAAACACAGAGGTTTACCAACCATTTTCGAAAATACTGTTAAGGAAAACCAACGCTGCCACAGGTTAAGCAGAAACACTGATCGTTACCCCTTACGAAGGCAGATATTTACCGGACAATCACTCGAAGAAGCATGCATTCCCACAGCTCCCGGCGTCGCCCCTCTGGATCAAGATCTTTTTTTATCAACAAAACGCAAACGTATCGCGAGGCGCCGGAGCCTTGCCAAGAAGTTAGGAAATAAACGTATCACCATATCCAGAGAAACAGAAAATAGGTTCAGCGAATTCATTTTAAAATCAGCTTTAAATTCTTCTCACAGTAGTTCAACTTCTGATTGAGTGAGGAAAATTTTCGTAGACGCCTCTCTGTAAAAGTCTATTCCCCTCCCTACTGCGTCTTTCAATAAAATATAACATTGTATAGGGTTTTTAAAATGTATTTTTACCGCTTCACTCTTGAACGTCTATGGCATTTTACTGTCTGTGGAAAGATTGTATATTTATATACCATTAACTCTAATTGTTTTTACTTTCTATTGTACAATAAACATTAAATTGATACGGCAAGCTAAACCTTATTTTAACCGAAATATTTGCTTCTCACTTTTGCCGTTTAGAGCTATGGCTAATTGATTAAGGTGCTTGGCTTTCAGTCACTGGTTTATGAACTCGAACCAAAGCAACTGAGATGGTTAGGACATGTGCTACGTATGCGTAGTCATCGCCTTCCTCGACGGGCAATGTTAGATGATATAGGGTCAGGCTGGAAAAGAGCTAGTGGCGGTCAAACCAAAACATGGCACCAATCAATGAAATCCACAACAGTCAATCTAAGCCACGTAGGAAGATGTAGACTTCCTGGTTGGGGCCCTCGGGATGGTAAAAACCAATGGTTGGAAACAATTGGTGACATGGCTCAAAATCGTTCTCAGTGGCGCAGATGCATCCACTCCTTGTGACTTATGATTTCCAATTAAACTTTTGTTCTCCGTTATTACTATTCCTTTGTCTCACACCTCTGTTTACTGTCTATATTATGCATTTCTTCTACTTCCTTCTCTTGCTTTGCGTGCTACATAGATTGTGGCGACTTGAACTGCCGCACATATGTGCAAAGTCCTATGTCGAAAACCGACCGACCGAACTGTTGGATGTGACTAATTACCATGTGTAATTAAGTGCAAGTGGTCATGGAGCAATCTTCCTCTTCCAAAACTGAACATTGAAATATACGCGAAAATATCCAAATAAATTAAGGATTGATTAGACAGTTAAAAATTGGGAAAATATCTGCAACTGTTCTCAAAAATGGTTGAGTGACTTACTTAAAGTTACATAATGGCTTGTCATTGTTAGAAAATGTCTTTTTAAAGGTGTGGTCTTGCTTACGTCACACGTCTGTTTTCTTTAATTATGTTAAGGGGAAACAACCCTTGGATCACGATATTAGTTGATTTTGTGTTTTAAAAAAAACTGATTATGAACTCAAGTAATTGCAGTATGAGAATATGAGGACCAAATACTTCAATATGTCAGAAAAGTACTGACCCCATAATTGAAAACTACAGAATTTTTATGAATGTTCGATCAACGTATGGTAAAGTTGTCTAGGTTAGATATAAATACCTTGAGCACTGAAGTTAGTGGTGGGCATGAGTAGTAGTGGTTTTTGTGAATATATTTCATAACTAATTGTTCTCTTTGTTCCCTACTTGGCATTACTGTCTGAGTTCCACTCATGCCGTTTTGCTAGCGTAATTTCCTTCTATACGTCAAGTGGTAGATATCTTAATTTGTTTGTATAATTTTGGCTCTACGAGCGTTTTGATTGCAACGATATTCGTTCAGCTTTTCATAATGTAGGCAGTCTTATAAATAACTCTGTTCACGGTTTCAGTCAAGTAACACCAGTCAATAATTTTCTGTGAATTAGGGTTTGTGTATATTTGATAAAGTCAACTAAGAAAGTGTCGAAATAATATCAACTTTTAATCTTAGAGGTTGGGTATTATTAATCAGTAAAATACAACAGATATTTCTTAAAGTATTGCTTTTAATCCTTATTTTATCCAGACAATAAAGGTAGTGACTAACTCTCGTTTTTCTAGCGCATCCCTTGTAATGCGTATTGTAAGAAGACAGAAGACATTAGGTGACTCATTCCCAATCGTTTATATATTTAGCATTTATTTGTTAAAAAAAGAAGACATTTCAGGCATATCTGAGCAAGTTTTGATTTAAGTTGTTGAGAAGTGACTACACAATCTGGAAGAAATAATCACGTAACAGGTGTAGTGATTCAATGCATTATTCACTATTGTAGTTGACTCACACTGCAACTAAATGTTCGTCTTCTCGGAGTATGCGATAGTCGGTATAGAGGTGAATGGTGGACCTCTGTCAATTTGAGATATATAGCGCCAGCCAATGACATCGGCGAGTATTTGATTACCACTTATGGTTTAATTCAGATCACAATGTGTGGTCGGAATAATTTAGATATCCTAAACGAACTTGGTGAAATCTTGTCTCAAAATGTGCAAGTCGTGATTGCGGCTGCCTGAATTCAAATTTTCTGATAATGAGCCCTTTTTCAACCTGTGCCATTTGTTTCTACTTTTTACTCATTGGCAAAGCACAGCGTTCGGTTACATCGAAGAACGTTATTTGTATCTCTCCCACAAATCCCGTTACTAATCAAGACGTTAAAGACAAGATCTCACTGTTGACAACCTGGACATGTATTCACCAGTTCACTTGCTCCTGTAGATTAATGTACATGGACCGTAGCAACAGGAAATTGTCTCGAAGTCCTCATGAACGCCTACCAATGTGATTATCAAAAGGAGAACGCAGAACAATCAACAGCTAAATTTTGGAATACAGTCTGGTTGCACAGCAAAGACTTCATTTAGAGTCATATATGAAGATATCCTTTGTATCCTTTCTTGGCAGGTAGTTTTTTTGGCAAATCTAGAGAACAGCCAACTGAATTTAGCTACCCAAGGTTTTCCCTTATCATTATCTGTTATTCCTTACATCTATCGTTTGGGAAGTGTTTATTCATTAATTGACATTTCCTCTCCTTTCACAGATTATATCTGACTACTTGAAACCTCCACTTTGGTTTACTATGATTCCACACACACATCACTAAATTATTTCACCTCATTTTCTTGTTGACCAGGTGTTTTGTATTGATTTATGTTACGGTCAGAATCAACTGCATGCTTTTACTGTTCCCCAATTTCATCAGGAAATAGTTTCTGTACTGAAAACTAACTAAAACCTGTACACAGAAGCAGGTAAGAACAAAGATTGTAGTATCGATTTCGTATTAACACGCAATAGCAGTAATTCCGAGAATTTCAAAATACAATGAAATTAGTATATATATAAACCCAGAAAATTGTATTAACAAAAGTAAAATTAAGAATAACCAAGAGACTCAGGGTAATGCATGGTATCTTTTTGCAATAGCCTATCAGTAAATGTATTGTACGTTAACGACAGAAGACAAGAGAATTTTGGTAACGGAATTATTTATTGGCAAGTCGATACACAAATATAGGCAAGACACGTCTTCATGTATTAGAATCACGATTTGTATATATCTTCCGTAGTGTGCGTCTTTGTCTTCGTTCCATGTTGTTTCACAAGCATCATTCCTTAAATCATCCATCTCTCTCCGCTACTTGATATTCTTGCAGATGACATACATATTCAAGTCTGCATCTATGCACTACTTATAAATCCTGTCAGTCGCACACGCCACACTGTTTACCTATTTCCAATCCCCATACTGTGTGTATGAACTAGTAAATACTGTTTATCTGGTTACCCTGACGTAGTGATATTTACGCCAAAATTTATTCGTCACATAACTGTCTATTGATATTACGACAACAACTCATATTTTTTAAGGACGTGAATAGGTATTTCTTAAGAAGAAGAAAAGTCTTTGTTCAGACAAACTTATAAGGTTTATAGCCATGGTATTTTTAAATGTCCCATTGAGTGGAAGATGGCTGGCTATGTAGGTAGGATTCATTAATTTACGCATACATCAAATGTATGATTACATCAGCATTCCTTAATCATTATATATTATTATTATTATTATCCTACCTTACCAACAGCTATCTCGCCTCAAACATTTCTGTATAAAATCTTGAAGGCGATTGAAATATCAGTCTAATTAATGATTCATATGTATGATGATATGTTTTGTTATGGATGAGGTTGGTGATCTCTGTCACGCCTGTCACCTGTCTTTATCGAAACTTGCGAATTTAAGTGAAGTGGTGCCTTCCCCGTCCTATTTGGGATTTGTCAGTCAGTTGTAGATTTGCATAAAAGGAGTTAAATAAGTGTATTAGAATTACGTGATAAGATGAGTGATTCAAACGAATGAGTTGTAATCAGGATGCGCATAAGAACGAAGGAAAATGTAGAATTATGTAAGATTTCTAAAGAAATACAATACAAGAGTTATAAGGAGTTACAAAAACAAACAAAACTCAGGACAATAGGAACCAACAAGGTTGTTACCATCATAGTAGAAGTGGTTGAATGATTGTATGCATGGCTTCGGTTTTTTCTGTTTGAATGACTAAGGCCTCAACAATGCATGGAAGACGAAAGCATATTAACTTTGCTCACAGTGAATGGAAATGTTCCCACTGGGTCTCGAACCAAGCATTCATAGGTTTAGGCGTTAGAGTGATATTCTGTAAGCTTCTGAGCCCGTGAGATGCACTAACGATAATTACGTAAAGTCTATTACACATAGTTTAGGAGTACTGCGACATCAAATTCCCGTCCTGTCGTGGATCTGAATTATGGAGCTGACACAGTATTAACTAATTTAACCTACACTCAACTTCAGTATTCTGGAGGGGTAGGGCCTAAAATCTCAAATGTACCAAATCGCGTAAAGCACTGATGAGGTCCACCTAAAAAGAGTGAAAACCCCACATTTCGATCACTTCGTTTTGACCATCGAGCCCCACTGGTTGATGTGTGGAGTCCAACTAATTATATCAACCAGCCAGTAGCATATAGCACTGTGCATTTTTGATTTCTTCTTATGGTGCTATTCAGAACACTATGTGTGGCCAGAATAATTTAGGGACAGTGGTGAAATTCCATCTCGAGTCGTGTAAATTGC